TCTCGAGACACTCCCCAGATAGGGAGCCAAGGCCGGGTCACCACTACTTGGAAAAGACCCGGTCCGGGAGAATACCGGCGAATAACAAAAAAAACAAAAAAAAAAAAAAAACCTCGTGTAGTCGATAGTCTTTAAACTTTACAAATAATAATTTTACAAAAAATATCATATGTAACTGTCTTCTTTTTCCTTCATTGTTATTCATTTTAACGTCAATTCATCGCTTTTCAAGGGGTCTTGATCCGAGGAAATGAAGATACTCTCCTCTTCCTCAGATTAAACCTGATTACTTCCTATTTTGTAGATTTTATTTGACCCCTCAAGGATTTAGCGCTTTCCTGTGAATATATGTTTCACAAATGTTGACAAATTTGTATTTATAAGAATCAGAAACGATCACCAACAGTGTTTTAAGAACTAACTTTTGACTAAACGACGTTTCGCTCAAGCGAGTCTTTATCAAGTTAGCTGAGAAAGCTCCTGCGTAGGGTCGCGAAACTCCGATATGTTTGATAAAGGTTTCAACTCTATTAGTTATCAGTCTTGTCACCATTAAACTTCAACTTTTATCTCTACTAAGTCATCGTCTCTGAAGGTCTGATCTATAATACAGAAAAAATATGTTGCATACCTCTTGCGTATTTTGTGTTCATTTCAAATAAAACAGTGGACGGAGATGGCATTTCAATGACCTTGTCAGGGTTGTAAGTGAGCATACGAGTGCTTATGGGCATCAAAACTGAGCCCCTGTGGGCTATACTGGTGGTGTCTTTGAATAATGGTGGGTCTTCAGTGTACTGGTGGGGTCTTTAGAATACTGGTGGGTCTTCAGAGTACTGGTGGGTGCTTTAGGAATACGGGGGGGTCTTTAGAATACTGGTGGGTCTTTAGAATACTGGTGGGTGTCTAGAATACTGGTGGGTCTTTAGAATACTGGTGGGTCTTCAGAGTACTGGTGGGTCTTTAGAATACTGGTGGGTCTTGAGAATACTGGTGGGTGTTGAGAATACTGGTGGGTCTTTAGAATACTGGTGGGTCTTTAGAAAGTATGGTGGGGCTTTAGAAGACTGGTGGGTCTTCAGAGTTACTGTGGTGTTCTTTAGAATACTGGTGGGTCATTAGAATAACTGCGTGGGTCTTCAGATATGTGGGTCTTTAGATGTACTGTGGATCTTAGAATACTGGTGGGTCTTTAGAATACTGGTGGGTCTTCAGAGTACTGGTGGGTCTTTAGAATACTGGTGGGTCTTCAGAGTACTGGTGGGTCTTTAGAATACTGGTGGGTCTTTAGAATACTGGTGGGTCTTCAGAGTACTGGTGGGTCTTTAGAATACTGGTGGGTCTTTAGAATACTGGTGGGTCTTTAGAATACTGGTGGGTCTTCAGAAGTACTGGTGGGTCTTTAAGAATACTGGGTGGTCTTAGGACTATGGTGGGTCGTTAGAATTACCGGAGTGGGGTCTTTAGAATACTGGGTGGGTCTTCAGTGGACTGGTGGGGTCTAGGATTCACTGAGGTGGGTCTTTAGATTACTGGTGGGTCTTCAGAGTTCTGGTGGGTCTTTGAATTCTGGTGGGGTCGTTAGAATACTGGTGGGGGCTTCAGAGTACTGGGGGGTGGGAGTTTGAATAAGGTGGGTCTTGTAGAATACTGGTGGGTGTTTTAGATTACTGGTGGGTCTTTGTAGATTATGGGGGGTCTTTAGAATACTGGTTGGTTCATTTTAGAGTTCTGGGTGCGGTCTTTGAATGACTGGTGGGTTTCAGAGTACTGGTGTGGGTCTTGCTGATGTAATGGTGGTCTTTTGTATATGGTGGGTATTTGTAGATAACTGGTAGGGTGTCATAGAATACTGGTGGGGTCTTTAGAAATACTGGTGGTCTTCAGTTACTGGGTGGGTCTTTAGCAAATTTGGTGGGTGCTGTATGAATACTGGTGGTACTTTAGAATACTGGTGAGTGTTTAGAAAGTACTGGGTTGGGTCTTCAGCAGTACTGTAGTATGGTGCGTCTTCAGAAGTACTTGTGGGTCTTTAGAATACTGGTGGGGTCTTGTCAGGAGGTCGGGTGGGTGTTCCTTTAGAAATACCTTGTGGGTCGGTTAGAATACTGGTGGGTCGTCAGAGTACTTGGTGGGTAAGGTCTTTAGAATACTGGTGGGTGGCTGTAGAATATGGTGTGGGTCTTTAGAATACTGGTTGGGTACTTTAGAATACTGTGTGGGTCTTGTTTTAGATATACTGGTGGGTCGTTTAGAGTACTGGTGGGTCTTTAGAGAAGACGGTGGGTCTTCAGGTAGTACTAGGTGGGGGTGTCGTCGAGTACTGGTGGTCTTTAGAATACGGGGTGGGTATTGTTAGAATAAGGTGTGGTGGTGGTCTAGTAATACTGGTGGGTCTTTAGAATAGGGGTGGGTCTTCAGTAGGACGGGTTGGATGTCTTTAGAAACTGGTTGGGTCTTTAGAATACTGGTGGGTCTGTTAGAAATAGGGTGAGTCGTG